TTTTTTATAGAGAAGCCTGGGTTGCAGCAACAGACATCTGTATATACTGCATTGAGAAAGTACAAGAACTTTCCCTAACTGAGGAAGTATAAAAACTCATTGAGATGCCAGTCTCTGGCCTTCCTAAGATGAGGCGACAGCTCCCAGTAGCTCGTGGACTTAGACTGGCATTCAGTATTTTAGGAATTTCATTGCACCATCTATCTGTTCATCCATCCATCCCTCTATCAGTTTATCCATCCATCTATTCATTCCTTCAACCATGCAACAAATATCTTTGGGCTCCATTCTAGGTTCCAGATACTATGTTAAGTGCTGGGGCTTCAATAGTGTAATGAAACAGATAAAGTATTTACTTTCACAAAACCTCCCTGCTGCCACTACTTATCTCACACACACACACACACACACACACACACACAACCAGCTCTTATATTACAAACATAATTTAAAAGCGTTGTTGTTACTCCTAAATTAGTTCCCAGTGTGAGAATCTAAGCTCCTATATATTCACTGATGTGCAGCCTTCTCAGTTCTTAGTTCTTCCCAGCACTTGGACTTGCCCTTACATCTGCTGTGCTTGGCTTGTACAATTTTCCCACCCTTAATAGGCCCCCTTCTTTGGGGTCCTGATCCATCCACGTGCCTTGTGATGCTTTAGATCTTGCTGTAAACTGATCTCACAGGAGCAGAAGTGTGAATTCTGTGAGCGCAGTATTTTCAAACACTTCCTTTTGTGTTATAGTTCTGTGGGAGCCAGGTTCCTTTTAGGGTAAGAATTCCCTTGAACAAATGCATTTGGAACCATCCAAATTTCAAGTGCGCTGAATACATATTATAGAAATGTATGGACATGTTGAAACAGAGAATATGTACACTTAATGGCCAAAATATTTCCCTGGAATTCCACTCTCCTCTACCTGAGAAAGATTTAAATACAAGGGAGGATTTGATTCCTGTTTACTGCACAGAGTCAGTTCTAACCTGGCTAAAATTAGCTTTTAAATCACTGGGTTTTATGCTGCTGCTGCACACGTGGTCCCCTGTGATTACACCATTAGATTCGCTCTTACTCCTGCTGATTACCTGTGATTACTTACGCGGTCAAGTTGTCGAGTGGCAGCACCTACTAAACACCTTCACACCTAAAGTAGTGCTTTAACCCTCTACTTAATTCCTTGATGCTAGATTTTATGCCTAGACTGTTTTATCTCCTTTTTTTTTTTTTTGTAGTCGAATCACCCCCAAAGTACAAACTCTTCTCTCAAGTTTGACTTGTGCATCTCATTTAGGATTCTGACATTATGGCATGCTCAGACAAGTCCAAAATCAATTTCATGGCAGGAGACTTTCTGTATTTACTATTAAGATAGATTTCCACTTCATGCTGCACTCCAAGGGCTTCTATCTTGCTAACATTTGAAAATCAGTATTGAACAAAAGGAACGCTATGGTTCTTCCACCTCTCCTCTTTGGTTTATTTTCTGGATGTTTTGCTAACTCTGTATGTTTCTCAGGAGAGGGGTAGAACTCCTGGAGCAGAAGCTTCCTCAGGAAAAGTTATTTGGTCCTCCTCTGAATCGCTGCTTCTAGTGATGTGCTGGTTTCCAACGTCACCACATCTTGTTTTGCCTGCTATATATATAGGATAAAAGTTACTGTTTTAAAATACCATTTTCACCAATAACAACCAGAGGTGAGCCTGTTATAGAAACTCTTTTAATATTACCTGTTGATGAGGTGTGGATTCACGATATTACTAATAGATACCTAAAGAAAGAAATGTAAGTTTAGGTATTGAATAAGGCATCCAATTTTTTCTTGGTTGATGTGAAATTAATTAATAAAAGATCATCGTTAACTCCTATTGTGAGTTATGTCAGAAGGACTATTCTAAGTGGTTGACAAGGAATTCTTAAAATCTCTCTGGAGGCAGCTATTACTCTCATTCCTGTTTACAGATGAGGAAACTGAGGCATAGAGAAATTAACTTGCCTGATGCCACACATTCAGCAAGTGTTGTGTGTCTTGAATCTAGTCCTGAATACTGAAGAGGGCTTTAAAATGTCAATTTCCCATTATTTAAGTTTCATTGCAATAACTACTATTCTTTTATCCCTCAGGCCTTATTTTTGGCTATAAAGACTCTTAAAAATATGTAAGAATCCTTCACTCTCTTTTCTTTTGCATAGGTATTAATGACTAATAGTAAACATTTGAAAAACAGAAATAGGCTGTCAAAAACAATTTTTAAATCTTATTGCTCTGCAATTAGTGTGAATAAAGCACAGCATGGCTTTTAATGTCATAGTCATTTTTGTAATTATTTTGGTGCCATCTAGTGACGCACATGAAATTTTTGTAATATTTTGCTGCCATCTAATGACCTAAGTGAAAATAACATTCAAACATGATTTTATTTTCCCATCTGCATTTTAAGACTTTAAGAACTACTTTAGGGGTAGGTTTTAAAAGAATCATTAAATTTGTATACCTCAAATATGAAATTTAAAAAATCTGAAATTCACAGTGATTCATTTTTCTTACCTCTTCTCACTTATTCTTCCTCTGCTAAAATAATATATTTTACTCATAACTGGAGCTCATATTTAATATCAGATAAGAAGGCATTAGAAAAGAACCTAGAATCTAATTAACTTTCTTTATGTGGGTTTAGACCATATGTATTTCTCTTAGGTCAATTTTATTTGTGCCAATTCTCATTTTAATAACTGTCATATTAAATTTTCCACATGTATCCAAGCTTGTTAATAGCTGATCAGTTTCAACTATATTTAATTATATAAATGATTATGGTTAAACATTGAGAGCTTCAGTTTTGCATGTTCTGTGTAGAATGCTTCTCACTCATCTACATAAATATTCACTGATTGTACAGTTTAAAGAATTTTGGATCAATACTCCTGAAATTATTTGCCTTTTCATAAATATATCTGTCTGCTCATTTAAAAGGCAGGGATTATATTAACAGTATATTTGCACACTTAGTCTTGGCCGGGTGTGGGGGCTCACGCCTGAAATCCTAGCACTTTGGGAGGCCCAGGTGAGCAGATCACCTGATGTCAGGAGTTTGAGGCCAGCTTGAACAACATGGTGAAACCCCATCTCCACTAAAAATACAAAAATTAGCATGGCATCCTGGTGCATGCCTGTAATCCCAGCTACTTGGGAGGCTGAAGAACAAGAATCGCTTGAACCCAGGAGGCAGAGGTGCCAGTGAGCCAAGATCATGCCACTGCACTCCAACCTGGGCAATAGAGTGAGACTTCATCTAAAAAAAAAGTTATATATATATGTAAATATAGATATATTTGCATACTTCTAACAATACCCTATATTAGGTAAATTCTTGTTGATTCTGCCCAATTCATAGGCTTTTAATGATATGATAATCTGAATGTTATGAAACACGAATTCAGATTAGTTTCTGCCCTATTTTGAAATGTTAAAATACTTGCAATGATTATACCCTGAAGAACAAAAGTTGGCAGATGCTGAAATCTTCTTACCACAGCAGTTCCCGGCCATGCCCCTTTGTAAGGCTGTGTGTATCTGAAATGCAATTGTTTGGGGGCCTGTTTATGATCAGGAAAATGATCCCCCTGCTGAAAAAAGACACAGTATGTCTTTAATATTCTAATGGACATCTATAATATCACAGCACTTTGAGTTCAGCACTTTGAGAAGCTGGGAGGAAATTTTAAGATGGGCGATAATTGTGAGCATTGACAATGACTCAGACTAGAGGGAGGGGAGAACTATGTTCTACTAGAAAGCTCCCACCTGAAGCTAATGAGATCATTTTCCAAGGGGATCTAAACTAAGATAAACAAAAAACAATATTCCTATTAACCATGTAATGTGTTGTTCAAGAAGGTAAGTATTTTACCTGGATTCATCTATATTCATGACATCGCTTATTCAACAAATATTGAGTAATCATTATGTGCCAGACACAGTTTTAGACAGCAAGGTGAACGTCAGCATGCAAGACTCATATTTGTGCCCTCATAGAGCATATGGTCTATGAAGATAGCCTCTTTTGATGGGGCGTTTTCCCTCAAAACAGTTCTAACCTGTTCAGCTTGTGTACTGGAATAAGGACCATTTGTAGCTGGCATTAAGTCATATGTTCCTCCCCCACATAGAGTCAATACTGGATACATCTTTTACAGTGCATAAGCATTACTAAGTAAGTACCTTGAGAGAATCAGCTTGTGTATTATCACTAATGATCAAAGCTCCACACCTCCTAATTTCAAGGGATTTAATTAACACTTCCAGTTCACACTGACCAACCTGGTTTGACTTCACCTGGGTGGTAATCTATTAAGTATCTTTAGCCTCATAGGACTCTGTCACATGATTTGACTTCTGGCATCTCAGGACTCTCCTGACCCAATATGATTTCATTTCTTAGGGTAATGAACTTATTCCTGTCACTTTTCAAAGTAAATTAACATATTGGCCAGTGAGGTGATGAAAGACATATCAAAACCACTAACTGCAAAATTATACTTTATTTCTAAAGATTTTATATTAAATGGTTTAAAGATCTAAATATATGGATTTTTGCAGTGTTAGGCCAGCATCATCCTAAAGGCATAATTAAAAATATGGATGTAAAAGCTATAGTCTGACTTGATTTCATGCCCCTGAAACCCATTGTACTAGTCTGAACCCCAGAATTCTAAACCAATTTTGAGGCCTCTGGAAAGTATTTCCCACTATCAGATATATGGCCACACATTCATCTTCTGGTCTGCAGTTTCCTCAGAAGGCCCGTACTAATTGCTTTTTTTTTTTTTTCCCCCCCCCCCCCGACGCTCCTTGAGGAATGTAGCATCCAAACTGAGAACTTCAGTCCTTAGTGCCATCCTTCAGCTATAAAAACGAACTTACAAAGTTTGTTGCTCTTAAACTCTATTTTTGTCATTTATGCTGCCCTTCCACTTAAAAAAAAAACACAACACTCAACGTTTTCCGTTCATGTCTTTATTGGTTCTGGTGATCAGTACAACTGCTTTAACTTCAAGTGCCATCATTCACTGTTTTGTGTTCTAATGATCATTCATTCCAGCCTCCAGTGAGAAAGACAACAGAGGCAGTTTTTATTTTAATAATCATGCAAAGGAAAATGTAGTGAAATTAAAAATAAATGGCCCTCCTTCAGGTAAAGAAAAATACTAGGATAAATTCAACTACATTTATGAAGAAGAAATTGAAATACTGAATCAAAAATTTGAAAACTCCTGATTTTATTGCGTTTTCTTTTCACTGATGATCAAAACCATGTAATCTTAGTAGCTAAAAGTTCAATAAATGACTGACTTCTTGCTGGTGTTGAGTTAAAACATATTATTAGCTCAGTTCTTGCTGTCCGTAGTCATTTTAATTTCTGGTTTATGTTTAATTGTTACATGATCTTCATACACCTCTACTACATGTAGAATTACTCATATTTCTTTAAGATGGACAACTCATAATATAAAAATAAAAACAATGAAGTTCTGTGAAATTTTAGGTAACAGAAAAACTGGTGCCCAATAGCTAGCCATTTTAAAAATATCTTTACTTTTCCATCTCTGTTTCTTCTTCTTTGAAACTTTACTAAAAATGCTACTTTTATAGGAAAGATGATTATTACAGAGATCAAATGTGAAATCTATGCTTTCATATTAGGTCTTGTCAAAAGTAACTTTGGTTTCTTGGTGACGACATCTCTCACATTCATTGCTCAGTGTGGAGAAATGAAATAGACTTGGAGTAAGGAGCACCAGAAGGAGGCAAGGAACCAAGCTCTCCAATGGCAGGTTTCCTTTCCTGAAGAGGGCAAGATCCAGCAGCCTCATTTGAAGGAAGCTCTCACTACCCTGTTCTTGATAGGCTGTGGAGGGCGCCAGTTGCCCACAAGGGGCACTGGGGGCTCGTTCTCAGCGCTGGAGAGGAGGCTCCGCAGCTTGGCCATCTGCAAAGGGCAGGGGCAGACTGTTAACAAGACATTCGGATGAACTGGACACACTATGCAACAAAGAGGTGTAAATACTGGTGGGGTTTCTTTTGTTTGTTTGTTTGTTTGTTTGTTTATATGGAGTCTCGCTCTGTAGCCAGGCTGGAGTGCAGTGGTGGGATCTTGACTCACTGCAACCTCTACCTCCCAGACTCAAGCGATTCTCCTGCCTCAGCCTTCTGAGTAGCTGGGATTACAGGTATCCGCCACCATACCTGGCTAATTTTTTGTATTTTTAGTAGAGATGGGGTTTCACCACGTTGGCCAGGCTGGTCTCAAACTCCTGACCTCAGGTGATTCACCTGCCTCGGACTCCCAAAGTGCTGGGATTACAGGCGTAAGCCACCATGCCCAGCCAATACTGGTGTTTTAAAAATGACAAGCAAACCACACAACCTGTCCCCAGTGTCCAGTCCAGAGCTATTTAGCTAGTCACTGCAGAGTGACACGCATTTTTTGTTTATTTGTAAAAGCCCATTTCTTCATTCTGTACAAGATCACTATGTCCTCTGGTCACAGCCTTTTCCTCTTGAATTCTGAAACATTTATTTTTATCTGAGGGGTCAGTATGAACTATATACTTTGTTGGAGAGGATGACCACATCCATATATCAGTGTAAATAAAATGTAATAGACCTTTTTTGTATAAGTTTATGGAGTCAATTATTTTAAGAGCAAAAAGAAATCCAACTCATGCTACATTTTCAATTTTAAATTGTCTTTTCTTTCTTAAAGGATAAGAAAATAAATTCTCATTAGTAACACTATGATTCTATATTAAAATATTTTTACATTTCTTCTTGAAAAAAATTTCATTCTTTCCAAATAGTTACATCACTGAACGATGTTGTTAAATTTGATCTTTTAATAAAAATGTCTTTATAAACTGACATAAATATGAAAACTGTTGCCTTATGCAAGAGACACACACTGGGAAACTGATTTTACTATTACAGAATATGCATGCTCTAGGTTGTAAGTCCCTGTGTTGTTTACTTGCTTCAATCTGTTTTTCTCCATGTTCTTGCCCACTTATTTTCTCCTATGTAGCTTTTCCCTGAAAGTGTCTTTAATGAATGTTACTAGGACACTCTTTAGATTGAACACTAAGAAGGGAACCTTGAGAAGAGATGCCAAAAATACTGGGAACTGTTTGGAGGTGGAATTACAATCCTGCACTTGGCTGTGTAATCATGGACAAATTACTGAACCTCTGAACCTTGAATTACGTATCTGTAAAACTGCAGAAATAATATATAGCATACAAAATTGTTAAATCCTTTCCATTAGCACCCTTCTCTTCTCCAGGTCTGTATTTATCATCCCGTCTCCTTACCAGTGCTCAGTATTTGGCAACATCCAAATTAACAAAGATTCATATTAACCTAAACCCTTTAAAGTGTTTATAGAGCATAAACTCAGGCATGGTCAGTATCAAAACAACTTTTAAATGATTTGTATTTATCCTGGTACCCTTTGGAGGCCAAGTTTTAGAAAGCTGAACAAGCTGGTTGTAACTAACCAGGGCAGACCATGAAATCTCCAGCCATAGAGATGTTCAGTGAGTATCCAGTTAGTAGCTATGTATTTTTGATTTGGTATATGTATCTTACATAGGCAGACAGCAACATAAGCCCATGTGTTCACAAGGCTGCTCACCTGGTCAGAGCTCACGGTCATGGGCTCCTTCAGCAGCAGCCACACGATGCACTCCTCACAGGGTGGCGTGGTGAATGACCCCTGGTAGGTCCAGTAGTCCCGGCATGCCGGGAACAGGCAGGATGGGTCAAACTTTGTGAAGGGTGCCTCCTTGCCCTGGGTAAGAGCAGGTTGCAGGTGCAGTGAGTGTGTGCATGCACATGCTCACCCACCCCAATGCCCTTATCACTTCATTTGTGAGAATGGATTTCAAATGCAATAGAGAAAATAGAACTTTTGAACAAAGTATAGGCCTGTCAAAAATAAAGATCAAAGCGGGGAAGCTGGTTTGCACATTATTACTTGATCTGACACAATCATTGTCACACTGTGTTCCTTATTGTTTTAACTGTGAGTAGAATTTGTAATTCTATCACTCCTCAAGAAAAAGGAGAAACTGATATCCCAAGCGTAATTGAATTATTTCATGTAAGTTAATGTTTTGTTGTTGATGATACCAAAAAATATCAGGCTTGCATTTTTATTGAATGTTCTACTTGGAATACTTACTTTCTCTGTTAATAAAACTCAATAATATTTTATTAGAATGGTCGCAAAAAATATCAAAATTTTTCTGTTACTTACATGAGTCTGTTGTTAAGATTTTAAATTTATAAGTGCTTCCCAGAAAAGTCATCACCAAGACTCAACAGACCAGTACTGGCTGACATTTAGTATCTCCATGATGGTATGCATGCATATATGCAGTGTGTGTGTGTGTGTGTGTGTGTGTGTGTGTGTGTGTGTTGGGCGAGGATGCGGTGACCACTCAACTTCTCTGATTCTCACTTATTCCACTGAGAAAGAGATTATCTGACAGGATGACTATCACCATTAAAAAACTGATATATGTGAAATTGCTCTAAAAACTGCATGCCATACAAATATAATAGCATTTATTTTTATATTTATGCTTAGCATATCCATCAAACTTAGTAACAGATTTTAGGTGAAAAAAAACACTTGAAAATGTGTAAAGAAAATTTGCATAATCTCCTTTATGTGTTAGGAGGGAAAATGATTTTTGTTTACCTTTGTCTTAATCTTGTCCAATGCATCAAGGAAAATCTGGAACTCGCCTTTCTCACGTCCTATCTGTAAGAAAACGGAAATCCAAGTATAATTCTTTTACTTCTCCATAATTTAGGATTGTCTTCAAAGCTGATTTTGATTCATCCATCTGCAACTAGTGTTTATAAATCTGCCAGAATATCTCGTACTAAGCAAAAACATAAGTTTATTTTTCCTCAAGATTTTAGAGTATATATTTTCTGATCTAAATTTGGACTCCAGGCCTCTGAAGTACAGGACCACAAAATTACATGTTGATCTAGTTCTGTGTCTTTGACCTTCTCTGAAAAGTCATTCCACTTTTCTAAAAAACAGATTTAGAACCAAAATGGACCCTATGTTTCCCAAACTAAGCTCATTGTCTTTCTTCTCAGACCTACTCCACCTCCTGCTGTGCTGTGTTCAAGCACCAGAAATGACCCAATGAATTGAGAACCTAAAACAAATTAGGTCATTCAAAGAGAAAGAAGCCAAATTTTCACCTCTGGCTTGAAATCTAGATTATGTTACCACTAACCTTATGTGTTAATGACACTAAGTCCTCTTTAAAGCAAGGCTGGCTCAACAACACACACATTCCATGTGCTATCTTAGCCTGGGATCATGTGAGTGGTGACCACCTCAAGCCGAGGGGATGTCCAGCCAGAGACTTGGCATCATATGGTTCCCAACACTGACTTTTCTGGTTTCCAGTGCAATTGAAGTGGAGCAGTGAGAAAGGAAAATGAATATATGCCACCTTTGCCCTTACCACCACGATAATAAGCGCACTCTAAGGCTCTGTCCCCGCCACCTACACACACACACACACACACACACACACACACACACACCCCACATCTGGGGAAAATTTAGAAGTGCTAGGGGTCCTGGAGTGTGGTAAAATATACACTTTTAGAGAAAAGCAAGACATTTTGAGCTGATCTTAGCAGAAATATCTTGATTAGTTGAATAATAAAATGTATATAGAGGGAAGAAGGTAAAAATGAGGGAATGAAACTCAAACTATGCTAAGCATTGGTAGGGAAATACATTTTGAAAGAAAATATATGGTCAATTTTTACTTTACCTTCAGAAAAATGCCAATCACAGCGATCCCATCACGCTGCTTCAGGGCTTCTTTAAAAGTGTTATACTTGGGGTTCCAGTGAACCAAATGAAGCTGAAACCATAGAAGACAGATTAGAAGGTAAATTCCTGGAATATGGAAGTAAGTATAACATCATCCACAGTAAATCCAATCGTGGTACAGGATAAGGTTGCTGAGCACTCTCATAAAAGCTGAGAAAATTTGAAAGAGTAGCATGTAGTATTTTGGTAACACTTCTAGTGGCTCAAATAAAAGGCATATAAAATTATTTATCTCCTTTTATCAACCAGAGCTCTGAAACCTGGTGGCAACCTGATCTTAATGTAGAACATGGGTACCAGTTAGGTTAATCAAACTTTCTATGCTGAGTTACAGAGAATGGCAAGAGAATACAATCACTTGCAGCAGTTAAAAAATGTTTTATTCAAGACCAAAAGTACGAAATAATCCCATATGCAAAGGTCAAACTGAAAATATTGACTGCATCTGTAAGAAATATACTCAACTTTCCCCATTTGGTTGGGGAAGATGTCTAGAAGGCATTCTCAGTATTTAATTTATCTTGTCATGGCTCTCTAGATTGGCTGTAAAGAAACAGAAAGATCACAGTGAAGTACTTTGGGTTTTCTAGCAATTAATTTAACCAAGAACTAAGTTGCCTCATGATTCTGCTTAAAAACGTGTTCATAGTGTATTTCTGGGCTTCTGTCACAGCCCCTATGTTAACCAGAGCCTATCTTTGGAAAAGAGAAAGGCAGGAAAAATGAATTGGTCCTCACCTCCAAGGCAACTGCCACCACTTATTGGCTTGGCTTTATAAAGAAAACATGTCAGAGGCCTGTCTTAAGCCCTTGTAATTTGATGCGTTGATCTGAGTTACAATTCATTCTTTTCTTTAATGAGTTAACTGAGACAGAGAGTAGTATATGCTCAGATTAAATTGTATGTGTGTACACATATCTCTATGTGTGTGTAAATATGTGTGCATGTGTATATATAGATATTCACATACATATATATATGCACACGGTTCATTAAGAGATTGGAATATAAGCATTATTCAGAATTTTGAAATTCTATTTTTAGAGTACTATATTCTTATAAAACAGGCAGCATAGGGCACTGGATAAGACGATGAACTCTGAAGCCAGTCTGTATCAGGTAGAGCACTAACATTCACCAGCCATGTGACTTTATTATGTGTCTTTTCTGTGCCTCTGTTTCCTCATCTGTAACCTGTCTCTTAAGGTAGCTAAGAGGATCTAATGAGTTAATACATGTAAGCATTTAATAAGTATTAGCTATCCTTTTTCCAGTTTCATTGAGGATGCTAAGCTTTCTTATTAAGTAGTTATCCAATTTCTAACTTTTTGGGGTTTTTTTCGAGACGGGGTCTTACTCTGCTGCTCAGGCTGGAGCAAAGTGGCACCATCATGGCTTACTGCAGCCTCAACCTCCCAGGCTCAAGTGATCTTCCCACCTCAGCCTCCTGGTGAGTAGCTGGGACCACAGGTGCATGCCATCATGCCAGGCTAATTTTTGTGTTTTTTGTAGAGACAGGGTTTCACCATATTGCCCAGGCTGCTCTCGAACTCCTGGGCTCAAGCAATCCACCTGCCTCAGCCTCCCAAAGTGTTGAGATTACAGGTGTGAACCACTGCACTCGCCCCAGTTTCTTAATGTAACCTTGGAAATCTTCATGTTTGATGCCAACTCACCTATACCCCTTTACCTGTCTAGCCTAGAATGTCTGGCAGCTTCAGTTTAGCTAAAACTAGTACAGCTATTTTCATAACTATAGACTTGAAACAAAAGCAGTGGATGATGCTTTGTTGCTGTGGTTCTTATTTTTAATTTTGCAGTTTTCACTGTATGAGACTCAGAATGGATTATGGCAGTTCCTCCTACCTCTGCTGCATACTTGACTCCATCCACGGTGTGCTCAGAGCCATGATCATCCGAAGAGCCCCAGTGAAGATGAAACTGGCGAAGTCGGTACGGTCCAGGGAGAGGACCCCCTCTCAGCACTGTGATTCAGATAAGCTTGGTCAACAGTGAATTCATGCTTCTTTTACAGAGCTTAATGGACAAAATGTGGTCAGTGTCCTGGGTAGATGGTGCCACTCCCAGGACACCAGACTCCTCATAAAATGAAGTCTTGGGATATGTCAAGATAAATGATTGTTCTTTTCTGTTTTTCTTATTTCGTTTGCTTGTTTCATTATTATTGAAACATCATTTTAACATTTAGGAAAGTAAAATTAAAACAACAGATGGACAATGAGGAGGCATACACCCAGAGAACAGGTCGGTAGTGTGGTGCAGTGGGAAGAATTGGACAGTTGAGAACCAGGTGGATGTAGGTTTCCAATGCTGGCTTCACCCCTTGCTAGTTCTGTGATCTCAGACAAGTTGCTAAACTTCTCTGAACCCACTTTCACATTTCTAAGAAGGTGATAATAATACCAAACTTTCAGAGCTGCTGTGAAGATTAACTGAGATTAAGCACCTTAAAGCGCTCATCATAGTGCCTGCACGATGATCACTGAGAAAATGTGAATTCCTTCTCCACATGTTGCTTCCAACTACACTTTTCTTTAAGACAGCAAGCAAGAACTTTCATCTATGCCTAATTTAGACCGTGTCTGTTCAAATGTGATGAAATGGAAAATTCAGAAATTTCCCAGAAAACCAATCAATTTATATGACTAAACTAGATAATTCTCAGCAGCATTAATTTGGGCTTGTTGATAAACATCTCAACCCATTCCAGAGTGATTTAGAGGTTCAGATATCTTCCAAAGTATATTGAAAACTATGCAGAAACCGTAAGATCAAGATTTGGCAATATAAGCTAGATCAAAATAGAATTCAGAGCACAGCTATTTTAGAAGAGGTTGGCCACACTAAGTGGCCCAGGGAAAGCCATAAATGTAGACCTCAAACAATGAGGCTAGGCCTATATGAGTTTTTTCATGTAGAAATGGAGTGGTTCAATTCATTGCATTTTTCCTGTCCAGCTACTCAGAACAGTTATTATAGGGACATGTGAGTCCAATTTATTAGAATAAACTGTATGAAATTGACAATATTCAACTATTTTTGCTCACAAAAATGGCATTTTCATGTGGTTCAACCTAATAGACATGTTTAATTTTGTTATGGTGCTTTCAAAATGGTACTTGATATATAAGGAGAAGGGGAAAAAAGAAAACAATAGCAATACGAAATTACTGTTTAAGAAAATTTAAATTTCTGTAACTTGGAACCTCCTAGTAGGTAGGAATTATGAATATCATTCTTCATTACAACATCATTAAGAATGTTCACTTATGTATATCAATGTAACTTTATTAGAAATGTGGCTATAAGGAATTATTTTGCTGTATATCAAGCACCAAAATATTAAAGGAAGATTATTTCTTACCTCATTTATTGTGAAATAAAGTATTTTTGACTAGCATTCTTTTATTTTACTGATTTGCTTACTAGTGTAAGTGAAATAAAGAGATTTGTTTTTTCTAAACATGTATTTTTCAGTTGCTGTCTCACACACAAATACTACTCAAGAAGAAATTGTCAGATATTTCAAAAATACTCACCAAAATGATTAACCAGATGAACCCCACTGAAGGCTTGAAGGTAAGTCATCTTCACACCTTCAATGGCCCCATTCTCTCCCCTAGATTGGTCACCTCCCAGGCACCAGGGGAAGAAAGTGCCTATTTAGGGTTTCTATTATATTTCTGGCTTTGTAGAATGGAATCTACGCAATCGAGAGTGGAAGCCTGGCTCTCCAGACCATGGACAAGAAGCATAAAAAACCCTCAGGTACAGGCCATCAGAGTCTGAAGAATACTCATTTGAGCTTATTGTCATCTCTGTCCTATCATGTTCCATTTCAGGAATGCATTGCCAACTTTTAGCTTGGACATGGGGCCGTTTTCATAGAGACCAAGTTTGGAGGGTGAGACATTTCTCTTCAATGCATAAATATAATTATTCATAACTAAAAAAGGCAAATGTCATCTCCATTTTCAGAGGTAAAGGGCTCCCTCTCCTCACTAATTCTGGTACTGTGTCATAACCCACATTTTGTCAATATGGACATTGAAAACATCCATGTGATTCTACCTCACTGTCATACTTACTTGACCTATCATAAGTATCATCAAATACAACTCGGCAGGTCTTCCCGTTATTCAGGATGGTCTTGGCAGAGCCACCATCATAAGACACTGACCATGGCTGCAGAGAAGGGTCATGCTTGATGTCTTTAGTATGCAGCTCAATGGGCGACTGGTTTTCCCCCTTGGCATTTGGAAAAAGTTCATGCCAGTGGTCAGGACCTAGGAAATAAAGTCGAGGGGATGTATTTATTTGGTGGCACAACCCAAGGCCTCTTTCTAATTGACTAAACCAGCAAAATGCAGAGAGGCTAGACAGTGATTTCAAAAAGGTCTTAGGTTTCAGACTGGGCAATAAGAGACTTACCGTTCATTTCAGGCCTGTTGGCAGTTTTGTGAAAAGCATACATGGAGACTGTTTAACTCGGTGTGTTCACTCTGCTTGCTCAAAGGCTTATTTCTGAGATAAACTTTATCACATTTTTTTAAACCAATGCCACCTTCCATCATACAGTTGGAATAAAATAATATTGACCACCTACATTTGAGCATTATGTTGCAGTTTTCAGAGCACACCCATATTCCTTTTCCTGGGATTAGGGAGAACCTTAGGCAGAGCAGAGATTCTCACACCAGCACCAAGCAGTTAGGTGCTTGTCCAGTGTAACAGAATAAGGGCCAGTCACACCTGACCTCGGGCTGTCTGACTTCTCAGAGGCAACGGGCTCTTAGGCAAGTGATCCAACTTCTCTGCACTTCAGTTTCCTCCAAGAGACATAAAAACTCCACACTAGGGAGAACTAAATGAGATGAAGGGAAAAAAGAAGGAGCAGCATTTGGCAGTTGAAAAACCTCAGTAAATGTTAGGTTTTATCCTACTCCTACATTTTCCACTGCACTCTCTAAAGTTGCCCATTTCTGTGCAATGGCAGGGCTCTCCAGGACCGGCATCTCCTCCTGGCCAGGTCGCCGCTGCCTGCACTCACCGTTGTGACTGGCGTAGCCCCACTCCTTGGCCATGGTCGCCCTCCTCCGCGCTGGACTGCTCCTGCCTTCTCTTCCCCTGCGTGGTGCAGAGTCTCCGCGAGCCCGCGCTTTTATGTAGCTCCCCCCCGGCACACTGCATGGCCTTATTAGGTCTGCGAGGGTGGGGCAGGGGGCTAAACTAGATTGGGGTGGTATTTGGGAGGCCGGGTGGGGGAAGCCAATGAATTCCAAGAGCGGGACAGCTGTCGAGGTGAGGGGGGCGGAGGTGGGCGAAGGGGCATCTACGCCCCTCCCTGCGCTCTCCCGGGAGTCGTGGCTCCTGGCCCCTCCATCTCCTCCTGTTGTCTCGCAAAACTGCAGGGCTTTCTAACTGGCGCCGACGTGCAGAAATGCAGGCGGCCCTCACCTAGTCCTCTCTCCCTCTTCCATGCATTCTTGGGGATGGGGTGGGGGCAGGGACAGGGTGTCGCAGCTGTGCTTGGCCACGAACTAAAATCTACATCCCGGCGGCTCTTGCAGCCTCACTTACAAGTTGCTTCAAGCGCAGGCTGGCGGTCTGGCTGCGACTCTGGACACTTCTGCGAGTTTATTTCGTTCTAGCGATCCGGTTACGGAGGCTGGAAAGAACTCGTTTGTTTGCCTGCCCCCTAAGTTTGACTCCCTTTGCAGGCAACATGTAAAATCCTAGGAGCAAAGGATGGGAAGAAAGAGTCCGGAGCGGGGTGGGATGGTGAAGAGGTCCTCCAAGTCCGTTATCCTTAAAGAGATGGCCCTTTCTGGAATCGCACCAGGCAGCATTTCCCAACCTAGCGGATCCTTTTGGTTTGCAGGAAGCCAAGGGCTGGATCTCAGAGAGCGCCCGGCATCCGGGAGATATCTGGATCCTAGGTTCACGCGGAGCTGGAGACTGGCACTGATTTAGCCACACTCCCTGCGCTGTACCTCTGTCCATGAAAAATCAAGAATATTCTGAAGTATTGGAAGGCTACTAACATAAAATGAGTCATATTTCTTAAAACCTGTGACCTCGCTCTCCAAGATATAATGAGAGATTGCAAGAAAAGAAAGAGGGAAAGATTTACAGAATGGCTTTTAATTTTTTTCTCCCCCTCCTGAGTTGTTTTCTGATATATTGAACCATGCAAAGGAGAATAAAAGCGGCATATCTAGTGTGTACATGACAAAGGTATATTTTTCAATATCTGGTTACGGTTCATATCAAAGAAGTCAGTAGTAGATATATACAATTTTAAGAGTATATTGTAAAATTTCTCCTGTTTTAATTCAGTAATAATTTTTTAAGACAGTGAGGAAAGATAAAGCTAATTTCAGTGCTATCTTGAACAATATTTTAATATACATTTCCTTAATTAATTTTTATTGATAATAGTATTTAGTATTCGGGGATTACAAAACTCGAAAAGGAAATCGCTCGTCATGGCAAAGATAGCTCATCCCTAAGGCATGTGGAATGACTGACCACACTCATAACCTGGACGCCAGGGGAGTCACTCCCCAGGGTATTTTTGTGACAAGGGATTATTTGATCCACACAATAGCAGTGTGGAATCAGGAACTAAGGCAGTTTGGAAAATCCAAGCAAACATAGTAAACAAATGCTCTTAAACTCTGAGTTCCTATCTGTCACTGTTTGATCAGAAAGACTGCAGTGGTTAATGGAGATGTTTTATAGTTCTTATAAAATGTATAATTATTTGTATGAGTAAATCAATCCACTCAATCATTACAATATTCTTTTTCTGGTATGAGTTGTTAGAAGATTGGCAATTAAATTTCATGTTATTTGATATAGTAGTCATACACAGAAGACACTTAATAACATTTATACCAAGAACGATCTAGAAATTCATCATGTTGTTATTATTTATGCATAAAAGGATACTTTTTAAAAAAAAATAAGTGCTATTTATGCTTAATTTAAAAAGTGCACAATAGCATATAATTTCAAATAAATGCTAGGTAAAGTTTGCAAAGTGAAATATTTAATAGCTTTAGATGTGTGGCCTTTAAAATGATGATTTGTATTTCATTATACTTTTTCATAAGAAGTTAATAGAAATTGGAATTTCAAGACAATTTATATTAAATCATGTAATTCTAGGCCATAATAAGTTTTTCAGAAACTTCATCTAAATTTTTCTGCAAATACATTTTTCAAAAACCTCATCGGCAAATTTACTATCTGCATCTTAGCTGATTTACTTCAGCATGTTTGCCTATACATTTCAAAATTCTCTGTCAATAAACAGATAATTCTAAACTGTGTGTTCAAGACTTTGAGATGTCTGGAGTTCACTTGAAAAAGAAAACTGTTAGGTATACACTGAGATAAATAATGCCAGAAAAAAAAAAAAGAGTGAGCGATGACTATCTCCTAGCATATTGGCAGCATTTCTCACAGTGCCATTATTGAAAAGTTGATATATTGGGCAATTTGTAGGAAATGACTGTACACATATAGAGAAAGAGAGAGAGAGGAAGAGAGAGAGGAAAATATTTAAGTAAACAAAAGTTATTGGTGGGGAAATAGTGTCCAATATAGAAGTTTCATCTAGGATTGTACGTTAACATTATAAACTTAAAAGATCTGAGGATATAAAATTTAACTATATTTTACTCACGACTTGGCATTTTGTTTTGCAAGATATCAGGTAATATAACTAATTCAAACCTTCTGCAAGTTACCATTTGGCATTTCTATTGTACCACCAAAAAAAAAAAAAAAAAAAAAGAGTGAGAAATTGCCCACAAAGTAGTTGCAAAATTTTGCCTAGATATTTTACATATTATAGAGGCACGTACTTTCTATTACATTTTCATTTTTATAAAACAAGTTCTGGCATAGGAAGGTGCAAATGGCTGATAAAAATTAAAATTGTTGATTAATCTACTGAACTGTCACAAATAACATAACTTTTACCTTCCTCCCTGACAATGTTATTTTCCAAAGCTTGACTCACTTAGGTTGTATAGGAACATGATAGGCCCAGCCCCTGAGTGTGTCACCAGTGACAGCTGGGCCACTTGAATCAGGTCTTAGATTTTGGCTCCTGTTCATGGCAAATTTGTAGGAGAGCAGCCTGGGCCTTGTCCCAACTGGTCTCCCTCACTGGAATGTATCAACCTAAGGTAGTCACTTTATTTGAGAATAGGAGCATGAATCCAAAGACGAAGACCTCCCAAATCTGTGCAGCAAGATTTCATCATCAGGGTCAGCAAATGCAAACTATTTTCTTTCAAAAACAAATGCTTCTCTTAGAATATAGTAACAACATCTTAAATGGAAGAAAGTTCCTTAAACTTTATGATATTTTTAGGATCAAATTTAAATGCTCAAGTTTAGTTTTCAATAACTTGATGACATTTGCTTATAGAACTAACAAGTGAAATTTTGCTTTAACATTTCGGAAGCATTTAGGTGGCCATTTGCTTAAAATTTTTCTTTGACCCCAGTCACTTCATCTTTGAAATGGAGAAAATAACAAACCTTGCGGGGTTCTTGTGAGGCTTAAATGAGATGCTAAATGTAAGGCAACTGAGTAGGCCGATGCAGTTAGCACTCAGCAAAGTTAGTGCCCTTCTCTGGCCTTGTTCATTTCATCTAATTTCTCTCTGGGCAACCAGCTACCCTAAATAATCCTTGTTCCTTGTTGGCCATAAACAGTGCCTTCTTTGCATGTCATAAAGCATAGGCGCTAACTTGCAGACATCACTTAAATGAAGGACACGTCCTGCTCATGTAAGATAAAAATTAATACAGCATTCACCCTTTTCTTCAGCTGTTTGAGCTACATAATCTAATCACCAGTTTACTCTTCCCATAGTGGGAGTCAAAGTAAACATTTTCAACCATACGTGACCAGTTATGCACAAAATGCATTCATCTAACATAATTAACGGAAACGAATAGAATCTAAACAATAAAAATCATATAATTCTGACAAAGCTTAAAGCTCCTTTGGCATATTATTTGAATAACAAGTTTTTTAAAGTGAAATTCAAACTCTTCCAAATGGCATTCAGGAGTTTTCAGAAGCCTCGTAGCCTATTTACTTTTCAGCCTTATCCCAGTCTTTCTTCCCAAATTTGCCCACCTTCTGCTTAGCTACAGAGCATCCTTTACTCTTCCCGTAACACACTTTATTCTTGCCTTTCTCACACATTATTCCCTTTGGCTCAATTGTCCTTTCCTTCATTTATACCTGACAAATTTCAGCTGTTTATACCTATAGTTATGTAGACTGTGTAGGTAGTGAGTATTTATGTAATATTTTATGTGGAAAAAGTTACTTTTTTAAAATATGCATACTTTTAAAAATTTCTCATAGATTCAGAGGGTACATATGCAGATTTACTACATGAATATATTATGTAGTGGTGAGGTTTGGGCTTCTAGTATATGCGTCACCTGAATAATGAACATAATGCCCAACAGGTTATTTTTCAACCCTCACTGCCGCTCTCACCCTCCCCTCTTTTGGAGTCCCCATTACCTATTGTTTTCCTCTGTATGTCTATATGTACCCATTGTTTAGTTGCCACTTATAAGTGAGAACATATGGCATTGATTTTCTGTTTCTGGATTATTTCATTCAGGATAATGGCCTTCAGCTCTGTCTATGTTTCTCTGAAAGATACGATTTCATTCTTTTTTATGACTGCATAGTATTCTATGGTATATATATGCCACATTTTCTTAATCAAATTCACCATTGATGGACACCTGGGTTCATTCCATGTCTTTGCTAATGTGAATAGCGCTGCAATAAACATACAAATGCAGGTGTCTTTTTGATGTAACATTTTTTTTCTTTTGGGTAGATACCTAGTGGTGGGTATTGCTGGGTCCATTAGTAATTCTGGTTTTAGTTCTTTGAGAAATATCTATATTATTTTCCATAGAGGTTGTACTAATTTACATTCCCACCAGCAGTGTATAAGCATTCCCTTTTCTCCAAAACTGCACTAACATCTGTTATTCGACTTTTTAGTAATAGCCTTTCTTACTGGTGTGAGACAGTATCTTTCTTTTTTCTTTTCTTTTTTATTTTACTTTAAGTTCTGGGATACATGTGCTGAACATCCAGGTTTGTTACATAAGTATACATGTGCCATGGTGGTTTGCTGCACC